CACACACACACACACACACACACACCACCCTATAAACATATAGCACCAAATCACACCAGGTCACACTAATGGCACTCTAACATATTGTGCTATTTCAATAGACAGCTATGTGTCACTGCCTGTGTCTTTAAGTCCAGTGAGTAACAGGAACTGTAGTATTGTTCTTACTATGCAGCCTATGTGGACTGTAGGAATGTAGTGCTGGGCATCACAGGGTCAAACTATCTTTAGCCAGCACCGTGTTTTACAAGGACTTTCTATTTTTTACTCTTTAGACAACTAGCAGAGGAGTTTTTATTATTAATATTATTATGTTGCTGGGTTAATTCAAATTTCCATCTAATAAATCATGACTGTGTAGACGATAACACCTTCCTCACTGATGAAAACTATCATCTTGATAAAGATGTTGGCCATATGTCTGTGGTATTGAAATGAACAACTGAAGTAATAGAGTCGCCTCTGTGTGTCCTCAGGCTGTTCCTGCAGAACTTCAAGGAAAATGCACGCGCTCTCACCGATGCAGAGACCAAGACTTTCCTGAAGGCCGGCGACACCGACGGTGATGGCAAGATTGGTGATGCAGGTGTGTGCTCACTCACTTCACATTCCTCAGACATTTGTCAGTGTGATCTCTGAGCTGGCTTCAGCTGTGCGTCTCTCCTCCTGTCTCCCCCTGCAGAGTTCGTTGCCATGGTTAAACCATAAACTGTTCAACTGACCAACAACACCAGCTCTGATGGAACAACAAAGCCCACATCGACCTCCCCCCCCTTTTCATCTGAATATAAATGACTTTTATACATTTGCTCCAGAGAAGTTTCCTCCTCTACGCAACACACTGTCCAAAACTGATGATTGTGAATGTCGCTCGGTTGTGTTCATGTCTTAAATATGAATTTTGCTTACTGTAAAAACCTATGATGCACTTTCCAGGAACGAACGGTATTAAAAAAAAAAATGAATAAATATTCTTTTTGCTTTTGTTTATTCTTCATACATGATTTGTGTCTCAATACACACTCAATTTACACCAAATCATAATCTGACACATTCTGAGTGACAGACTTCCATTTCATTTTATTTGCCATGAAATTGAAAGTGTTCAAAAGCATAGACAATAATGGATAAATAAAGAAAGCAATGCAAACACACTCTCTCTCTCTGTCTCTCTGTCTCTCTCTCTCTCGTCATGCAGCTCCACCCTGTAGCCACTAGATGGAGTAACGTCCATGAACACCAGATGAACAGACAATCAGTAGAGACGTCAAGTCAAAAAATACACTAACACTTTAGATCTAATTGGATTCCCTCGCTTCAGGTAGTTTGGGCCTTTTGGGGATTTTTTTGGATTAAAAAATAAGATATTCATTTGCTTTGTAGCTATTTGAATTCAAACCAAATTAAGACACAAAACAAAAACAAGATCTCCAATTCCATTGAATGTAACTGAACATGTCACGTGTTCCAATGCTTTGCAGAGAAAATGAGCAATACGATATATGTCAGTCCAGTCCCTCCTCAGTCCCTCCTCGTGTCCTCCTCTGGACCTCTCTACATGAGGATGAACGAGGCTCGAACAGGGCATTAGCAAATGTAAATGAATAAGTGATTGCCCAGTAACAGTATAGTCCACGAGGTATCAACATGGCGCATGACATCATGCACCGGGTGTGGGTAGACTCGCACCACCGCCCTCGATCCGGTGTCCTCAGCCTCTTCTTCACACACAGTCTGGAGCAGATGATAGAGTTTCTCTTCAGGAGTCCGCCTGCACCAGAACCTCACAGAGGACGATCACACATCACTTGTTGAGGGGCCCCATTAACAAGTTGGCACCGGGATTAGGTTCAGGAAAGGCTGACAAAGACAAACCACCGGAGATACAAGCTTTTATTCAATAATGAAAGACGCCTGTAATCTGGCAAAGAGATCGACACACAGCTGCCGTACGCATCCAGTGCGTAAAAGTCATGCCCAAAGCACTATCCTTAATTCTTACTTCCTAAAGGTCTTTAACTAATACCTTAATGATTTCTCCACACATTTATAGTCTATAATACAACACGCGCACATATACGCATCTCGATGGATTGTCTTCAGACCTTTAGATACTGTTTAAGAGGATCTTTACGCACGTGTCGTGACACCGAAACAGACTAACGTTTCCCGTCACTCACGAACGCGTGCGAGAGCGCAGCTGTGCCAGGGCCAGGAATCCCTCATTCCCTCGCGCTGTAAACTGGTAACCATTCAAGTGAGGAAACGGGTCGTACTATCTTGGATGAGTGTAAAGAACAACGTGAGAGATCATTGTTCAGTTCAGGTGGTGACCTGGTCAGTGATATGAAGGTTCCATGGTGTAATGGTTAGCACTCTGGACTCTGAATCCAGCGATCCGAGTTCAAATCTCGGTGGGACCTGTTCCTTATTCTACTTTGCTGTGACGAAGTTTCTTCTCCACATTATGAACAAAGCAAAACCTATAAGAGAGCGATACTTATTCATCTGTACATGTGGCCTTGTCTTGCTCCTCTTCCTCCTTCATCCACACATTCATCTGACCTGCCGGCGAGAGAACGAGCTTTTTCCCATGCGCCACTGCAGTGAGCTCTCTCCCAGGGATGTGCCTAATGACCCCTGAAGTTCTCTGTGAGTCAGACTCGCTGGGGGCCACAGATGCCCTCAGAAAAGACACCCTGAATTTATTATGTTACTCCTGGACAAATGGACAGAGTGTAGCTCTGTGGCTTCCTCAGAGAAACAGCGACGAAATGGGACAAAATGATCAAACTCCATGTGTCCCCCCCCCCTGCATCCCCGTACCTCGTGCATGTACCTGGGACACTGTGCGTAATGCATCATCATCACCATCAGACAGCAGAGGGTGACCTCGGGTCTCTTCATCAGCACAGTTGACAAAGCAATTCCGCGAGGCTGCCCCCCCCCTCCAACCCCCTGTCACCGTAAGACAACGAGAAGGTTATAAAGCATCAGCGACATTCAGTGATGAGCAGCTATGATGTGTTTTTGAGGTTACATTACATTTGAATGGAGATTAACTGACCCCCGTGCGCCAAACTCTTGGCCCCCTCAAGACGCACAGATGGGAAGACCCATTAGGTGACTCGATAACCCGGTGCCTGTGCCACTGACATGAATTTTACGCAAGACTAGGCCTGGAGCAGAACTGACAATTTCTCACCTCAGATGTATTGATGAGGGCACATTTTCAAGGAGCATCAAATGAGCGTGTCATATATAGGGACTGCTGCCTGAAAAGGGATACCTGCATGAAGGGGTGGGGGTGCAGAGACAGCAAGAGATGGAGGAAAGGAGAAAGAGAGAGGTTGCAGTTACATTACAGCCTGCCTGCATTTACTGTACTGTATCCTTGAGGTGAGGGGAGGAGTGGTGCCGGGGTGACAGGAGGGAGTGGTGGATGGGGGTGGGCGGAGAGGAATGCGCTGTTTTAAACTTAATTTGCTATTTACAAGGGCGTTACAGATGTCCACGGTCCGCTCCTCTCTCTGCTCCGGGGCGTTATAAATAGTAAAGGTTAATTAGTTAGCTGGGAAATTGGATCAGGGGCGGGCAGCTAGAATTTGATCCACAGACAGGTAACTCAAGCAATCCCCATTGTCAGTGCAATCAGACCTATATAAATCCGCCTTGACGGACAGCAGTCACCACATAGCCTTACCTCTCCAGCTGGATCACCGACCGGGCGAGATCCCCACCTGACACGGTAAGTTGCTGCTGCTGCTGCAGGTCGCCTTTGACAAACAGTGGCAATGTTTTATTTATCTTTTTATTTTATGTAGCTTTAACAATATGTTGTAGAGGTGGATTCTCTGACTCTTTTATATTCAGAGCTGCTGTGGGCTGCATGGTTAGAGGACAGGTGGGATCATCTTGTGCGTAAAAGGGGAGATTTATTTTGAAAAACAAATATCTGGAATTATTTTACTCATAAGAACCCATGCAGATTTTGGGAGTTTATGTCATTATGTCAGTTTGCTGCTCTCCTGGCCTGTCCCTGCTCTGACTGACCTTTCAGCATCACTATTCGGTCACTTGGACACATTTTTGCTCCCCACCAGTGTCCAGTTAGAGGGTTTTGCTCTTGTTCCTGACTAAATGTGTTAATAATTCACCACGGTTGTTTCTCCTGCAGGAATAAAATGTCACTCTCATCTATCCTTTCCGCTGATGCCATCGACAGTGCTATCAAGGACTGCCAAGGTATCGTCTTCCTCCAATATCATTATTGCTTTCTTTATTTGATTTTGCACAGTATTGCCACTGGAGCCTGGTGCACTCACCAGACAATATGACTGCCCCCTATAAGATTGTCTGCTGTTGCTATAAAAAGCTACACAAATGCATATTGGCTTGTCTGCAGGGTATAAGGGATTTCATGAGAAGAAATTGGCACCAGCCATAAATAAAGTTCAGATTTCATCGTTATCATTAGAGGTCAGAGACAATCGGCTAAAATTAAAACAAATCCACATCCAGGACCAGCTCTGTGGTTCTGAGCATTCTGTGCCTCACACTTAATAACACCTTATCGGTCGTGTGTCATCTTGTTTTCACAATTTCAACTGACATCACTTGTTTAAGGATTTGCCGATGCAGTGACTTTGCTTCAGTTCTACTTAAGAGAAACAAAATTGTCCCACATGAGTCGGTCTATTGACCTGAGGACAGCATTTCAGTCAAACTTGGGATGTCCCTGACTCTTCGTTCTATCTCTCCCCCAGCACCAGACTCCTTCAACCCCAGGAAGTTTTTCCAGCTGTGTGGCCTCACCAAGAAGAGCCCCCAGGATGTGAAGAAGGTTTTTGGGATCCTGGACAACGATCACAGTGGCTTTATTGAGGAGAGTGAGCTCAAGTGAGTGAGCGGGACAGTTTGCACACTACAGACTTGTCAGTTGTTCCCAGGAGCGAACGGTTCCGAGGCTGCTTTTTGCCACTCTGAGGAAATCAGACTCAAAAGTCTTTCTTCAGGATAATCAAACCTCTGCATTTGTCCATGTCTCTGTGTCTGCCAGGTTTTTCCTCCAGAGGTTTTCTCCTGGTGCTCGCGTTCTGACAGACACGGAGACCAAGGACTTCCTGTGCACTGCCGATGACGACAGTGATGGCCGGATTGGAGAAGAAGGTGAGTGGATCCACACATAGGACAGTAACAGGTGGGAATGTAAAAACAACAATGCGTACTCTATCCTGAATATCACTGAATTTGGCTTCACATCATACAGATTTGCTATGTTCCTAAAGACCAATAGTGATTTTAGACTTGTGACTGATTAAAACTATGGTGCAAATGACAGGCTGTTAATTTTAGAATTACATTTAGAATCTCAATGTAGTTTACTGTCATTATTGTTCCTGGTATATTTCAGTGTTACACTGAGGGATGTGTCTGGTAGAAACAATCAGGTGCCACATCTTCTCAATGCTGTTTCTTTTCTCCACAGAGTTCCAGGCCATGGTCTTGTCCTAAACAGCTGGACTCCATCTCTCCGACTCTATCTGACCCCAGTCCCGGCCCCTCCCCCACTCCACTGCTTCAAGGGCTCTCTTACTTTTAGAAAATCATTTTTAGATATTTTTCCTTTTTGATTATTTTTTTGGTTTTTGAATGAATCGCTCCGGTCCACACATCCACATTCTCATCATGTTTTTTCTTTTTCATGTTTCAGACAGATCATTGCCCAAATAAATGTACAATTTACCAAAATACTGAGAAAATAAAAGAATAAAATCCAAGTTCCTTGTCACTCTCTGTATTCTTTCTATGTTTACATCTGTATGTTTCTACATGTCTTGGTTTTTCCCAATGTCAGCTGGGATTTGCTCAAGCTTCCCCAGTGACCCCCAAAGAATAAATGGTTCAGATACTGGATGGACGGATGGATGTCTTCACTTAGATATCATCAGGGAGGATACAGTGGAGCAGGATAAGACCAGAAACTAAAAACATGTTGTGGTCATCCAAACTTTTTCAATAAAGGGCACTGAAAGGATTTAAATGCACAAAATGACGATGCAAACCTTTCTAAAGCTGGAATCCAGTAGAGTAGAGTGTAAACAGTGATCCAGATGAACCCGTGAACAACATGCATGTACAGACACGTGCAGTC